GCAGTTTTACCTTCATTCAACATGAAGTTTCATGGTGAGTTCACCACCATTAACATGGTATCAGAGCCTCAACAGCTCTGGTAGCCATCGTTCTTGATTGCCTCTTCGTTTTCCTTTCTTGGTGTTTTTCCTTTTCTGATTTCACCAATTGTTATCTTCTTCTTCGCAATCAATTCTTTTGTTTTCTATTTCGTATACTCCATTGATGGCTTCCCAGAGCTTCACAGATTTCTCCATCAATTCTTCGAATCCCTATTATTTGCATCCGAATGAAAATCCTTCCTTAGTTCTTGTTTCCCCCCTTCTTGACGACAAAAATTATCACATTTGGGCTAGGTCAATGCAAATTGCATTGATTTCAAAGAACAAGGAACGATTCATTGATGGCTCGCTTCCAAAACCTCCGATTTCAGATGTTCTTTACGCTCCATGGATCCGTTGCAATACTATGGTTTTGGCTTGGCTTCATCGTTCGATTTCGGAGTCCATTGCAAAATCAATTTTATGGATCGATACTGCTGTTGGTGTTTGGCGAAATCTGCAGATCCGTTTCTCACAGGGAGACATTTTCCGCATCTCTGATATTCAAGAAGAGCTATACAAATTCAGGCAAGGTAGTCTTGATGTTTCGAATTACTTCACACAGATGAAAGTCATGTGGGATGAGCTTGAATCGTATCGTCCGATTACTGTATGTTCTTGTGAAATTCCTTGTTCCTATGGAGCTCTTGCTTCCATTAGGAAATACAGAGAACAAGACTATGTCATAAGGTTCCTCAAAGGATTGAATGAGAAGTTTACTCAATCCAAAACTCAGATTATGCTCATGAATCCATTACCAGATATTGATAAAACCTTCTCTCTAGTTATTCAACAAGAAAGAGAGCTTAATAGCTCTCAATCAGTGGTTTCAAATAACACTACTGAAGAGTCAACAACTTTACACTTGAACACCAATTCTGGCAACAATCATCAGAAGTTTGGTAATAGTTCATACAAGGGAAAAGGTAATGGATATGGAGGAGCAAAAGGTCCTAATCGAATTTGCACTCATTGTGGAAGAACAAATCATACAATAGAGACATGCTTCACTAAGCATGGATATCCACCTGGATTTAGAGGTAAAGGAAAATCCACAAATTCTAATTCCCACTCTCAATTTGTTGCTTCTGTTGAATCATGTCAAGCATCTCCAAATCAGGTTTCAACACATCCCATCAGTGGCTTCACTCAAGAGCAATATCAAAGCATCTTGGACTTAATTCAACAGTCAAAGACCAACCCTACAGCCAATTCTATCTCAACATCTCCTTTTGTCTTGAATTCTCACTCAAGTCATGATCCTGGTAAGAATTCCCATCTATGGATTCTTGACACAGGTGCCACTGATCATATAGCTTTTGATTTATCTTGTTTTAGCTCATATAAAACTATAGTTCCTATTCATGTTAGTTTACCAAATAGTTCTACTGTCACTGCCTCTATTTCTGGAAGTATTGTCCTCTCTCCTACCTTGATCCTTCACAATGTTTTACATATCCCTAGTTTTCATGTCAATTTACTCTCTATTGCCAAACTCGTTCAGAACAGTGATTGTGTTGTTAACTTCACTGATAATTCATGCCACATTCTGCAGAATCATTCCAAGGAAATGATTGGTACATCTAAACTTCAAAGAGGTCTCTATGTGCTTGATTCTTCTCAACATGACCATGCTTGTAATTCTTCCATAATAGATAATTCATATCTTTGGCATTTAAGACTAGGACACATTTCTGCTATAGGTTTGCAAAATGTATCAAAAATATTTCCCTTTATTCCTTCAAAATGTAATACTCAATTTCCTTGTGATCCTTGCCATTTTAGTAAACAAAAGAGATTATCTTTTCCTCATAGCACTACTTTATCTAAGGCCCCTTTTGAATTGTTACATGCTGACTTATGGGGACCATTCTCTACCATTTCAATGCTATGACATAGATATTTCATTACTCTTGTTGATGATTATAGTCGATATACTTGGGTAATTTTTATCAAAACCAAAGACCAAACAAAAAAACAGTATTATTCAATTTCTAGCTTTCATTGAAAATCAGTTCCATACAACTTTAAAGCAGTTCAGATCAGATAATGGCACTGAGTTCAATGCCTTATCTGAAGTTTTCTTATCTAAAGGTATTATTCACCAAACGTCATGTCCTTACACACCCTAACAAAATGGAGTGGTGGAAAGAAAACACCAACATATCTTAAATGTAGCTAGATCACTTTATTTTCATTCCAAAATTCCCATTAATATGTGGAGTTTTTGTGTCCAACATGCCATTCACATTATAAACAGATTACCCACCCCTCTTTTAAAGCTCAAATGTCCATATGAAATCTTGCATGGTCAGCCTCCTTCTCTAATTCACCTTAAAGTGTTTGGTTGTTTAAGCTATGATGTTTCCAATCAAATTCATAAAGCCAAGTTTGATCAAAGGGCAAGGAAAACTGTTTTCTTAGGATTCAAGGATGGAACCAAAGGTTACATTTTGTATGATTTACAAACTCATAATCTTTTTGTGTTTAGGCATGTGACATTTTATGAAAATATGTTTCCTTTTGCTGTCACACATCCAAATCATACTCAGTCTTCACATCCTAGTCATCCTACTCAAACTGTACCACACAATTATGCTGATGTTGACTTGTCACACCAGCCTCCTATTTCTACTGAACCACAGTCTAATTCTCCTAGACTTGACAGCTATACTTCACAGCAGAGCAGTCCTTATGACCAACCTTTATCTGTAGATACTCAATCTACTCCTTTATCCAATGAATCTATTGATTCTACACCAGTTCTTAATCCTAGCCCCCACACCCTTCCTTTTAATATACATAACAATTCTGAAAATCCTACCAACATATCTCAACCTAATCTTAGGCAATCTAATCGTGTTTCACATCCTCCAAGGTATTTAGAGGATTACCATTGTTACCACACTACTGATAATCCTTCTACTTCATTTTCCAATTCTACTAAGTTTATCATTCATTATCCTCTTTCTTCAGTCATATCATATGAGCAATGCTCTCCCTCATATAAATATTTTTGTTGTGCTATTTTATCCATTTCTGAACCCACCACATATAAACAAGCCATTAAACATGACTGTTGGGTTAAGGCCATGGATGTGGAGCTTAAAGCTCTTGCAGAGAACCATACATGGGTTGTGGTGGATCTTCCTTCTGGTAAGGTGCCTATTGGTTGTCGTTGGGTGTATAAAGTTAAACATAAAGCAGATGGATCCATTGAAAGATACAAGGCCAAGTTAGTAGCCAAAGGCTACACTCAAATGGAAGGTATCGATTATTTTGATACATTCTCACCTGTAGCCAAGCTTATCACTGTTAGAGTTCTTCTTTCTCTTGCAGCTATCAAAGGGTGGTTTCTTGAACAGTTAGATGTTAATAATGCTTTTCTTCATGGAGATTTGCATGAAGAAGTTTATATGAATCTTCCCCCTGGCTTGTCTGGTTATGATTCATCCAAAGTTTGCAAGTTACAAAAATCAATGTATGGCTTAAAACAAGCCAGTAGACAATGGTATTCCAAATTATCTGCTTTTCTCATCTCTCTTAGATATACTCAGTCACAGGCTGATTATTCTCTATACGTCAAAAATGATGCACCCCATTTTACTGCCCTACTGGTCTATGTTGATGATGTTGTTTTAGCAGGGAACTCTTTAGCTGAGGTCAAACTTGTTAAGCGTTTGCTACATGACAAGTTCAAAATTAAAGACCTAGGCCAGCTTAGATATTTTTTGGGATTTGAGATTGCCAGATCTAAAGAAGGCATATTTTTGAATCAGAGGAAGTATACTCTTGAGTTATTGCAAGATGTTGGACTTCTTGCAGCAAAACCTTCTTTGGTTCCTTTTGATCCTAATGTCAAACTATCTGTCAATGAAGGAGATGACATAGAAGATCCTTCAACTTATAGAAGGTTGATTGGAAGACTCATTTACCTCACTAATTCAAGGCCAGACATCTCATACTCTGTTCAACATCTCAGTCAATATATGTCTCATCCTAAAGTTCCTCATTTTCAGGCTGCCACCAGAATTTTGAGGTACTTAAAATCGGTTCCAGCCACTTGTATTTTGTTTTCTGTTTCTAGTGACTTAAAGCTACTTGGCTTTGCTAATTCAGATTGGGCTAGATGCCCTGATACTAGAAAGTCTATTACAGGATATTGTGTAATGTTAGGATCATCCTTATTGTGTTGGAAGTCAAAGAAACAACATACTGCTTCCAGATCTTCCACTGAAGCTGAATATAGGGCATTGGCCTCTATTACTTGTGAAATACAGTGGTTACAGTATTTGTTCCATGATCTTCTTGTTGATTTTCATCAGCCTGCCTCCATCTACTGTGATAGCAAGTCAGCAGTGTATTTGACTCACAATCCAACATTCCATGAAAGAAGCAAACATATTGAATTGGATTGCCATGTGGTTAGAGAGAAAATACAATCCAAACTTATTCATTTGCTTCCTATATCAACTCATGACCAGTTGGCTGATATGTTAACCAAGCCACTTCACTCTCCTGCTCTAAAGAAGACTTTAGCCAAGTTGGGACTTTGTTCTATCCACAGTCCAACTTGAGGGGGGCTGTTAGTCTAGATAGTATAGTTTATTTATACTTCTTTGTTTTTTGTACATGTATTCAATACACTTGTCACGTCAGCTTTGTACATAGTATAGGCTAGTGTATACATATATATATATATATATATATATATATATATATATATATATATATATATATATATATATATATATATATATATATATATATATATATATACACTCTTGTAAATGCCTTAAACAATCAATGAAGAAAGATTTGTTTTTGCTTAACAACTTTCTCTTAGCTCTTCTTCTTGCTGCAATATTTTGTTATCTCTTTCTTCTTGCTGCAGTTTTACCTTCATTCAACATGAAGTTTCATGGTGAATTCACCACCATTAACATAGCCTTTTGCGTCTTGACCAATAACCATATGAAATAATCTATGTTAAAGTAAATGGTAATGAATTGGTGTAGCGTGCAGCTTCTTGTTGTAACAATAGATTCCAACCAACAACAATATTCTAGAGAACAGAGGAAGTAGGAATCGAAGGGAGAAATCATCGTCACTGTTTATCTGTTCTTCTGTTTGATGCTATATCTTGTTTTTGCAGGAAAAGAAAAAGTGATGTGACTAAATAATGTTCATCATGCTACCAACCTACAGCAAATCAACTCACACCAACCTGTAAACCTTTTTCAATCCAAATTCCAAGATAAAGTAATCCAAAGAGTCAAAAGCAAAGAGTAGACGAAAGCATATCAGAAAAAAAGCCATCACTTCCTGTCGATGTCTTAGGACTGCTCCAGATGCCCATCCATGAAAGACACCTCGACCGTTCATCCTTGGGCCGTACTCAGCACCTCTGCGATTCTGATCTCGCTGCTAAATCAATATCTACCACGACCAGCATCGCCAACATCCAACCCACGCCTCCGATTCCCCACACTCTAAAACGCACCTGAAGCCGTTGGTTACGCAGCGCTCGCCAGAAATTGACTAATTGCTCCCTTAAGACTCGCATCACTGGAACTACATGTTGTCACCAGTCGACTTTCGTCGTTCAACCCGAGCACTCCGCCTCCTCCCACCGTGACTCAATCACCATCACTGAATCACTTCCTCCTCCGTGAAATCTTCCGCCAGCTTCTGGATCTGCAACCAACCGGCCTACAGTCCCGCTGTCTACGATTGATATCATACCAAATCCCCTCCATAGCTACGATGACTGTATCAAATCATTTATCTTTTCTTGATTTTGTTTTAGGGGATTGATATTGAAGATTTGTTGTTGATTTCTTAAAGAAATCAAAACAAGGATTGAATTTGGGAATGAGGAAGCATAGTTGAAAAGAAAAAGAAGATGGAGCAATAACACTATAATTACTCCCTCTCTCTCCGCGTGTGTGTATAAAATATATTTTTTATTATTTTATTTAATCCCTAATGCCATGTGTCATGTGTTGAATGGTTGGTTTGGAATAGTGGAAATGGTCAAAATTTGTTTTAAGCGCGGAACAAAGAGTTGTTTAAAGTCTTTACCATTTGATTTTTGTTTTAATTATTATTATTATTTAAATTGGGTTTTAAGTATAGAATGGACCTTAGGTCTTTGTATTAATTAATGTTGCACCCCCGATTCAATACACACCTCTAGCCCAATTATCTAAGTTTAATTATTTTGGGGTTGATTAATTTTGATTAATTAAATTAGTTTTAATTATTTTAATTAATTTAAATTAGTTAGTTTAGTTCTTTAATTATTATAAATACTAAAAGCAATTACTCATACAATTATTAACCCTTTGGATTAAATTTAAATGAACTCATGTATACTAAGCATGTTTCTTTTCAAATAATTAATTCAAACATTCTATAATCATAGGATGTCCATCAATCGAGTAATTAAATCGGTCGACATGTCGCTTACCGATTTATTATTCAAAATCAAACAATTAAAACCCGCGCAATTCATCAAATATTCCATCCACGAATGACACGTGGTCAATATTTGGTAACGTGATGAGGAGACTATATCAGACTCTCCCGCTCTACGTCTTAATATAGCTAACCAACATCAAAATATTTTTCAGCTAACATAATCAAAAACTTAAGATTATTTTCGAAAAAGGATCAAGGAGAATTTCTTTCAAAATTAAATGTGAACCACGTCTACAATCACTCTTTTACAAAAACTAGACAAGGTTAAGGTTAAATTCGAAATCAATTCTATACGATCCTATAAAAAACACCAACCCACTGTGAACTGTGAATTGGGACTTTGATTCCTCATAAGAGGATACATAGGCTTACGACTAAAATCGTAGCGAGTTCCCCTAATAAAAAATTAAAATCCTTACCCAAAACCTTTAAAATCTAAACCCTAGTATCCTTGTGAACAAGGTAGATGAAGGGTGCCTAACACCTCTCCTTCATCTAAAACCGAGTCAACAACTTAGAATCTTTGTCCTTGTTAGGGTTATTCTTTATATTCCCTTCTTTAGGATAAAAATTAAGGGTGACAACTCTTATTTTAAAATCGGTTACAACACTCGCACCTTCAATTAGCATCAGAGCTTCTTTCAAGGTCATGATGTTGATCTTTGGGATATGGTAGTTGATGGCTACAAACATCCTTTATATGCAAATGGAAAGTAACTTGAAAGGAAAGCTATGATTGACTAATAGAAAAGGATTATAAGAATAATCATAAAGCAAGAACCATCTTGTTGAATGTTATTTCTTATACTGAGTATGAGAAGATCACAAATAGAGACTTAACTAAGAATATATTTGATTCTCATATAATGACTCGTGAAGGGAATGATCAATTCAAGGAAACTAAGGCTCTAGCCTTGATTCAGAAATATGAAGCCTTCAAGATTGAGGATGATGAAACAGTTGAGATGATATTCTTAAGGTTTCAAACCTTAGTTGCAGGACTGAGAGTTCTAAACAAACCAAAATAAGATCATGTGAAGAAGATTATCATAAGCTTTCCACCCAAATAGAGCCGTATGGTAACTGCACTCAAGCTTGCAAAGGATCTCAACAACACTTCTCTAGAAGAACTGGTGAGTTTTCTAAGAAGTCGCGAGATTAAGCTAGAATAGGATGAACATCAAATGAGAGGCAAGCCTATTGCGCTCAAATCTGTTAGAAGATCTGAGAAGTTCAAAGCTCTTCAAGCTGAAGAGATTGAGGATTCAGAAGAATATTCTGATGAGACTGAAGATGAGTTATCTTTGCTTTCCAGAAGGGTAAGTCGTCTCTAGAAGAGAAATCAAGGAAACAAGTTCAGAAGTACTAAAAGGGAAGGTTGCCGCTTCGAGTCTACTTCTGATCATAGGAAGTCTAGTGGCAAAAAAGTCACTTGTTATGAGTGAAATGAGCCAGGACACTACATGAATGATTGTCCTAAACTTCAGAAGAACAAGCCCAAGAAGAAATCTCTCAAGACCAAGAAGAAAAGGTTGATGGCAACTTGGGATGATTCTGATTCTTCAGAAGATGAATCAGAAGAAGAACATGCTAATGTGGCGCTGATGTCTCAAGTCAGAATGTTTGTTGAAAAGATCCCTCTAGAAGATGAAGCAGAATTTGATTCAGACTGAAACAAGGTATTTTCTAATCTTACTTTTTCTGAATTAACTTTCTGTTTACTTGAAATTATGGATAAACATGAGTTACTAAAGATTAAATTCAAGGAACTTAAAAAGACCCATGAATTCACATCTTCTGAAAATAACAAGCTTAAAGAAGATCTCTCTATTTTAAATGAAGATTTTTTTTTGGCAAAATACCTTTTTTGGTCCTGTATGTAAATGCCAAAGTTCATTTTGGTCTCTTAACTTAAAAATGTTCATATTTGTCTCTTAACTCTTAAAAACACTTCATTTTAGTCCTTTTTGTCTAATTAGATACGGAAAAACTCAAATATCGATCGCTATATTCGTTGCTAATTAGACAAAAAGGACTAAAATCAAGTGTTTTGAAGAGTTAAGGGACCAATATGAACCTTTTTTAAGTTAAGAGACCAAAATGAGCGTTGACGTTAACATACGGGACCAAAAATGGTATTTTGCCAAACTTTTTTCTTAAAGATGAGAACTCTGCCCTCAAAGGCATGAGAGTTCTTCCACAAGCTTCTGAGAGTACTGATGATGTCATTAAGAAATATGACAAAGCTTTTCAGAAGTTCCTAGCCAGAAACATAGGGAGAAGCATGATGGCTTCTATGATCTATGGCTTGAGTAGAAATGGGACTAATGGTGTTGGTTATAACTCCTATGATGAATCTAATTCTGATAAGGAAGAAAAACCTAATAATCTTCACTCTCATTTTGTCTCTGTTGGGTTTATGCCTAAAGATAAAGGAAAATAAAAAGACAAATCTATTTCTGAACCTAAAGCAAAATCTCATGTTAAACCTTCTCGTTTTAATTCCTGTAAATATGATTATTCTGTTGCTAAACCCAAAGTTGTTAAGAGCTCTGGGAGAACTAACAAGAGAGGACTCGAGAAGTCGTGACTACCCAAGAAATAAATAATCTGTGTTGCAGATATTCTTAGTAACACAGTTGAAACACCTGTCATGGTACCTGGACTATGGCTGCTTACAAAACATGGCGGGAAGAAGGCATATGTTCCAAATCCTGGAACTTAAGCCTGGAGGCATTGTGGATTTCGGAGGTGATCATAAGGGAAGATCATAAGATCCAGAATAGCTGGTAATGGTTTCCTTGTCTCTCTAGCCAATGTTTTTACTTGTTGTTGGAGTAATGAATATTGTGTTGTCTTTAAATCAATTAAGTGACGATGGTTATGATGGTATTCTCATTAAAAAAAATTGCAAAGCTATTAGTCAAAAGAATAAGTCTACTATATTAAGTGGTAAAAAGGAAAAACAAATTCTCTAAGATTAAACTTTATGATATTAAATGACTCCTCTTAAAATTTCTTTAGTTTGCTAATAAAGAGCATTGGAATTGGCATAGATGATTGAGCTATGAAAGTATGAGAATAATATCTCAGCGAAACTAGCTTAAGTTAGTCAGAAGCCTTCCTAATCGAAAGATCCTTCAGAAGCTCTTTGTGAAGAATGCCAGAAGGGCAAGTTTTCTAAAACTTCTTCTAAAACAAAGAATGTTATTTTTACCTCCAGATCATTGGAAATTCTGCACATTGATTTTTTTGGACTAGTGAAAACATCGTCAATCAATGGAAAAAAGTATAGATTAGTCATTGTTGATGACTATAGCAGATGGAATTGGGTGAAGTTTCTTAGACACAAATATAAGTCACATTATGTGTTCACCATCTTCTGTAACCAAGTGCAAAATGAGACAAGTCTCAGAATTGTCAAGGTTAGAAGTGATCCTGGAGTAGAATTTAAGAACAAACACCTTGAGAAGTTGTTTCATAAGAATGGAATTTCCCATGATTTCTCTTACCCTAGAACTCACTGAAAAACGGATTTATAGAGAGGAAGAATAGGAATTTGCAAGAAATATACAGGACCATGATCAAATGAAATCAACATGGAAAAGCACTTTTAGGAAAA